CGGGGCGGCCGGCCGCCCCAGAGTGAAGTTCGGGGGCGCCGGGGCGGGGAGGGGAGCCCCAGGCGGGTACGCGCGCAGGTTCGCGCGGCTCGGGCCCCCTCCGCCCGCGCCCGGGGACCCGCCCCCGCGGCGGAGCGGCTTCTGTTTACTTTCGATCGAGTTTTTCCTGCTCGGGGCAGGTGCCCAGGGCGGCTCCGGGCGGAGGGTTACGCGCGGCGTCCGGCGCCCCAATCCCCGCGCCGCCAGCCCCGGGAAGCGCGCGTCGGGCGGGCGGCCGGGGCCGCGGCGGCCACGGCGTCTCCAGGCGTGCTCACTGGCGTCCGTTTGTGCCCAGGTGATGCCGGCGGCGACATGGAGTTCCCGGAGCACGGCGGGCGGCTGCTGGGCCGCCTGAGGCGGCAGCGCGAGCTCGGCTTCCTGTGCGACTGCACCGTGCTGGTGGGCGACGCGCGCTTCCCGGCCCACCGCGCCGTGCTGGCCGCGTGCAGCGTCTACTTCCATCTCTTCTACAGGGACCGGCCCTCGGGCAGCCGCGACACGGTGCGGCTGAACGGCGACATCGTCACGGCGCCCGCCTTTGGCCGTCTGCTGGACTTCATGTACGAGGGCCGCCTGGACCTGCGCAGCCTGCCCGTCGAGGACGTCCTGGCCGCCGCCAGCTACCTGCACATGTACGACATTGTCAAGGTCTGCAAGGGCAGGCTCAGGGAGGACCACGCGCCGCGCCCGGAGACGCCCGCCCCCGGGGCCGAGCCGCCGGGCCAGCTCCTGTGCCCCCAGCCCGCCTGGACCCCTGAGCTCTGCCCAGCGCCCCAGGAGGCCAGGCTTGCCGGGGCTGGGGGCAAGGCCGCCTTCCCGCCACGAGTGCTGGGGCCTCCTCCCTGGCAGGCCCCAGGAGAGTCGGACCGGGCTCTGGACCTGTCGCTGAAGCCTGGCCGGAGGCGGGAGCCGGTCCGCCCACGCTTTGTCATCGAGACGGGCCCCTGCGGTCAGACGCAGCAAGGGGCCCCACGGCTAGTAAAGGACGAACGTGACTCCCTGTCCCAACAGGACAGCGTGGGCCCTCTGAGCCCCCGCAGCCCCCTGAAGCCACCCTGCGTCCCTACAGCCAAGCGCCTGGCAGGGGGCTTGGAGCCACTGCCAGTCGGCGGGGTGGGCAGCCAGGAGCCGGAGCTGGATGCGGAGCCAGGGGCGAGCGACGACGACGACGACGAGCTGGGCCCCGGCGGGCACCTCTGCACGTGCCCGCTGTGCTGCAAGCTGTTCCCCAGCGCCCGCGAGCTGCAGCTGCACCTCAGCGCCCACTTCCGGGAGCGGGACGTCGCGCGGGCCCAGCTCTCGCCCGACTGCACCGTGCCCACCTGCCCGCTCTGCGGAAAGACCTTCTCCTGCGCGTACACGCTGAAGCGCCACGAGCGCACGCACTCGGGCGAGAAGCCTTACACGTGTGCGCAGTGCGGCAAGAGCTTCCAGTACTCGCACAACCTGAGCCGCCACGCCGTGGTGCACACCCGCGAGAAGCCCCACGCCTGCCGCTGGTGCGAGCGCCGCTTCACGCAGTCCGGGGACCTCTACCGCCACGTTCGGAAGTTTCACTGTGGCCTGGTCAAGTCCCTGCTGGTGTGATGCGGCC